CGCCACGAATTGTCTCTGACAGTGGTAGGGCACCTCCGGGTGCTCAATGGTTTGCTACTGCCCGCCTAAAGCCAGACAGTTCCTGGTCAAATTGGTTCAAACCCGCCAAAACCGTCTAGCGTCGCCGTGGTCGCAGGTGTCTATACTACTATGGTCGCAAAACATATATGAATCGTTCCAGTACCTCCAAGGCTGCGTGTGATGGCCGTCAAGCGGATCCCAATCACATTCCTGAGCTGGATCTGCTCCCCACTGCCTTGTGGATCAGACTATTGAGCCAAAGGCACACCAGTGCAATCGTATGCCTGCGCGCAAAGCGCTCAGCATCGGATGCTGGAACGTGCGCACACTACTGGACCGGAACTCGAGTGACCGCCCCGAGCGACGCACTGCACTGGTCACGATGGAACTAGCGCGCTACCACATCGATATTGTGACGCTCAGTGAGACTGGGCTCGCTGACCAAGGTAAGTTGCATGAAGCAGCTGCTGGCTACACATGCTACTGGGTGGGCAACGCCACCTCAGCACCACGTGAACATTGGGTCGGATTTGCAATATCCGATCGTCTAAATGGTCAGCTGGTGGGTGAACCAACAGTCATTAGCGCGCGACTGATGACTGTTCGCCTACGACTCAGAAGAGGTAAGTTTGCCACTTTTATAAGCACGTACGGTCCGACCATGTGTTATCCTGATGACACGCGTGATCAATTCTACACTCAGCTATCCTCTGTGATACGGTCTGTGTGGAGGAGCGACCGACTATTTCTGCTGGGTGATTTCAACGCACGCGTTGGACGTGATGCATCGGTATGGACAAATATTATCGGTCCACATGGCATTGGTTCAGCGAATGCGGATGATGACAGGCTGCTCTCACTGTGTGCCACTCACGGCATGACGATCAGGAGTACTCGGTTTGCAGAGTGCGAGTGATATAGCAACTTGGACGCATTCATGGAGTGGTCACGCTCCTCTGTTCGACTATGTCATCGTACGTCAGCGTGATATGCGTGAAGTGCGCATGACACGTGTTCTGCGTGGAGCTGAGTGTGGCACTGATCACAAATTGATGCGGACCAAACTGTACATATATTTTCGGAAATCTATGTGTTGCACTCCCGCTGTGAATCGGTGTAAATTTAACATTCTCGCCCTCGGTACTGTGGCGAAACGTATTGAGCTGGAGAAAGCGGTTGCTGAACGTCTGTGGAATGCATAGCCACAGTGGGCGACATGTGGCACCACATTCGCGACCAGGTGACAGCTGCTGCCGCGCAGACCATCGGGCGCGCAAACTGTAAGTGGCCTGATTGGTTTGATGACAACAATGCGACGGTTGGCGCATTGGTGTTGGAGAAGAATGCAGCGTTTGCTGTGTATGTGACAGACCCCAGTGACTTCGGCAAGAATAGTCAGTTTCGTAAACTTCGACGGCAACTGACCCGAGAGCTCCGTTGCATTAAAAATGCATGGTGGACGGAGAAGGCGAAGCAGATGGAATGCTATGCCGAATGTCGCCAACACAGGGAATTCTTCGACTTCTTGAAGGCGGTGTATGGACCGAGGTTGGAGCCGCTGAGGACGCCGATTGATGGTGGTTCTGGCACTACCTGCACACGGCCTGCAGGCATAATGCAGATCTGGCGGAAACGCTTTGTCTGTCTCTTGGACAACCATTCAGAGATCGACTGGCCTACTTTGAACGGTCTGACGCAGCACGATGTGAAGGCGATTCTGGCGGACACACCGACATTGGATGAAACGCAGAGAGCACTTGCTTAGCTGCGAAACGGCAAGGGTACCGGTGCCGACGGGATCCCGACCGAAGTATTGAAACACAGTGGACCCTCGTTGGTGACTGCCCTTCACCACTTGGTGCAACGCTTGTTGATTAAGATGTGGGTGCCTCCTGAGCTGAAGGATGCCCTTGTGCTACCACTGTACAAGGGCAAAAGAAGCAAACAATGTTGCACGAATTATCGTAGCATCAACTTGCTGAGTTGTGTGGGCAAGGTGATTACCCGAATCCTGCTCAACCTCTTCGTCAGTCAGGTTGTGGAAGCGAACGTGGTGGGAGCGCAATGTGGATTCCGTTCGGGTCACAGCACTATACATATGGTGTTTGCAGCTCATCAGTTGCAGAAGTGTAGAGAACGACACTCGCTTTTTGTTGATTTCACCAAAGCATTTGATACGGTGAGCCGCGAGGCATTGTGGCTGGTGTTGGGTAAGTTTGGTTGTCCGCGTAATTTTCTAAGTTGAATATAATATCCGCACAGTAGTATGCGAGCGAGGGTGCAGCTGAGTGGAGAGACCTCGGATGACTTTGCAGTTGTTGCTGGTGTGAAGCAAGACTGTGTATTAGCTTGTGCCCTGTTTAATATTTATCCATGCAATGGTGTCTTGTGCTTACGGTGTTCGTGTGGAGCACCGTATTGATGATGGGTTGCTGAACATCCGTCGTTTCGGTGCGAGAACTCTAGTCTGTGAGACAACTATCCGTATGTTGCTGTTTGCTGACGACTGTGCGTTGTTTTCACACAGCGCGGATGAGTTGCAGCACATGACTAGTGCTCTGGCTTCGACAGTGGCCAAATTCGAGCTCACCATCAACACAAGCAAAACTGTCTCACTTTCAGCCTTCACCGGAGGTGCCGTCTGCAATGGTGCCGCGAATCAGCATTGGTGCTGAAGTATTGGAAATTACCTCCCGCTTCTGCTACCTTGGGAGTGTGATGACTGACCAGCAGCTTCACAATGAGCTGCGTATCCGCGTCTCGAAGGCAGCGGCGGCATTTGGGAAGCTAGAGTACCGAGTGTGGAACAACCATCAGCTTATTATTGGCACGAAGCTGATGGTGTACAAATCGATGGTGCTGTCCGTCCTTCTATACGGCAGTGAAACGTGGACGATGTACCGGCGGGATGTGCAATATCTCGAGCAGTTCCATCCGTAGTGTTTGCGACGAATTTTGCGGATCGGTTGGGGCGCCAGAGTTGCAGACACGGAAGTGTTGCGCCAAAGTGGAATGTATGCATTGAACTGCGTACTTTTACTAAGACACCTGAGATGGCTCGGCCATGTGAGCCGTATGGATTCAACGCGGATACCGAAGTAGCTATTAGATGGTCAACTGTGTGTTGCGAAGCGGCACGTGGGGAAACCGAAGCTTCGTTACCAGGACATGATCAAAGTGAGCCTCTCACGTTCTAATCTTGCTTGCGGGTCATGGAAATCGAAGGCGGTTGACCGGCGTGCTTGGCGCGATCTAATCACGAAGGCAGTTGCCGAGGTGCAGGAGAAGGACCTCATGCTTACGGAGAAGAAGCGGCAAGCACCGATGGGTTGTACTCCATCGACATCGAGCGCATGATTCTGTAGCACATGCGGTCGCGAGTGCCTGAGTAAGGCAGGCCTAGTGAGCCATGAGCGAGGCTACTCGGGGCCAACACCGAAACGACGACGGGTTCTGCAGAGAACGTAGGCAGAACCGGCGTAGCGTTTGTATGTTCGCTTCATTCGATTTACTAACCGTTTACTTGCATGATGTGTCTTTATTTCAGGTGGTGGGTTTGCTTTATTGTCTTATTAATGTCTACGTGAACTATCTTCCGTTAACTAGCACACGTCGCTCAGGTAAAATGTAGTAAGCTTTGCTGACATTTTCGCGTTTGTGAAATGTTTAAAAAATATATTTTCTGACGTCTTGAACCCATAACGGATTTTTTGGCAACCCATTTATTTCATATGCTCATTTATTGAAGAGGTATGTCGGCATATCGGTAGGCATTATTCGATTTATTTTACTTGATATTATCGTTTAACGGGGTTGGCTGATGGTTGATATCCCCGGTGTGGCTGCGCTTGATGTGTACGTTGGCAAGGGGCCTACTGTATGCTTACTTTCTGCTGATAAACGCTTTCATTGGCTGCCTTCAAGACAGTAATGCTGTTCTTAGCTAACATCAATGGGATAGCGCTCCCGTCGAATGACTCTTGGCCAGTTAGCTTCTGCTGAGTACCGAATCAGTAACGGGCTTGAATTGCCTCCTTGACACTACGGCTTTGTATCCTGCAAAAAGGCAATCGGTTGGCCGACACATTGGCAAATAGTGAGTGCGTTTTGGCCAGTGAGCGAGTGGACACAGCGCATGGCCTGTAACCCACATGCTGCTATTTCAATCCCCTGTAGATGCAGTATCCCTAGCCCTCACGCAGCTGGTAGTGGTCATATGGCAGCGTAGCGCGGGCACGAGGTATCGGCGTTCTGATGCTTCTGTTTTTACGTCTTGGTGATTCTTAACACTGAGCCGGGTGAGTACAGAGCTAGCAAGCAGACATTCGAAAACGCACCATACACGCTTTTACTGATAAGACAGGTAGTTAACGATGGTTGCACCGGTTTAATGTGCAAATCGGAATTTGTCTGGCTTGATGCGAATAGCTTCAGTTCTGTTCTAAACAGAAAGTGATGATTTGACGGAAACAACAGTGACTAAGAAGCATCTCTGTGTCAGCCAAGGTTCTCACTATCGGCACAGCTATTCAGCTTTCCATGTAGTTAATAACCATTTTCTACATGAATAAATGGTTTTCCATCACTGCTCAGATTGTTTTGATTTAGGGATAGTCACATTACAACTTGCGCTGTTTTTAGGGCAATCATCCGATGCTATATCCATTTCGGTTTATGTGCTAGTTTCTTGTTTTTTGTGTGCACCGGTGAACACCAACAATTCGATAAATGCCTGCGAGTTGTTAATCAACGTTGAAACCTGTGTGTATCTTTTATCACTATCCTTTCCTTGTAACTATAGTTTCAACTATTTGTTCCCTCGCTCTAAAAATTGGAAGTGTCCTTCGTGGCATTTCGTACGGATGGTTGGCACAGCGGTGTTTTCTTATTAGCCATTGAGCTACTGATGGGCTCTTTGAATTCCTTATTCGATACTCGTTATCCTAGGAAAACGTTTATTATCTACCATCTTTTTTACAGTTTCTAAGACAATGGCCAAGACTTTACGAATACTAGACGGTGTAAAGTCCTGGGAGCTCTTTTCCAGCCTCTGTATCAAGCGCCCGACCGTCATCACTCCACAACTCACAACATTAGAAAGCAAAGTAGCTGACTTGTTTGCTGCTATGGATTTCGAAAAAAGCCACTTGTCTTCTCATGAATTGCGGGATAAAATCGAACGGTCAAGATTGATGAAGGCTTTGGAAAGAGGAGATGCAACCTCTGTGAGTAACGATGGGGCACTTCTAACCGCACGGGAATTGGAGCTCGAGTGGCAAGAGGCAGCACGTGTTTTCAAGCCGGCTGATAGACTCACAGGTTGGTACGAACTGTTTTTCGTAAGTGAAGCGCGCAGGCTCTGATATCATCGAATGTTAGATATGCTGTTGAGTACTTGCCTGCACCTCTTGCTCATGATGCGGCTGTCGAGTAGGCGGACAGCTTTACTTGTTGTAGCACGCTGATTGGCGCTTCATCGACATGTTTAAGGCTATCTTTCCAGCTTGACCAACAGGCAGAAATCGCTATGGTCTCCCAGCCTCTATCAAAAGACTCCCACTGTTTTGCGGCTTCGGTGCCGCAACAGATCGGTCATTCTTTTCTCTAGATATGCGCACCACCTTGTGTCGGCTCTTGCACATGTCTCTGCTTCTGCATAGGCTTTGGCTTCCATGCACTGTTCAAGCCCACGTACTGTGAAGCATCAGTGCTATTGCATTGTTGTGCTGCATTCCTTTTCTGCTTATGCGGTGCAATTTTCTGGTGGCGAAATTGCCCCTTTGTCCATTTTTATTCACTGTCGTAGGTTATCACAGACTTTTCACTGTCATCCCCAGAGTTTCCCCACTAATTTGTAGCCATTGTTTTTAATCCTCACACCAGTTTCGTATCGCACCGTTTATAGCTGATGACGTGATCTATCTGAATTCATGGCAGGCTGTCATTCGGTAGCCACCATATAACTCGACATGAACAATTATGTTTGAGATTTGTGCCACTAAGGTAAGGGCGTGTGATTAGCCGACATCTGAGGTAAAGTGTGGCTATTGTCAGCAGGCATGCATCAATCTCGAAAAACTTCTTATTCTCCCTCTTGCGCATTTTCATCCTTAGCGTCCCGCTCCAACTTCACTTTCCTCCCCCGTTTTCAATCCCCCAATTCTTGGCCCTCCACCTTGCTTTAATAGTCGCTTGTCTTCCAGTTTTAACTCACACAATCGCAGAGCGTCGCTCTAGTCCAGTCGAAAAGTCCATATTCAACCAAGCGGACAAAATCAGTTCATCCGTTTCCTTTTGGAGTTTTGGATCCTCGTTAAGACTGACATGCCTAAACGTGCGCACTTTGCTACAGATTGACCAACAGTCAGCACTTGCCAGAACACTCGAGACCCTATCGATCGATATTTGCTGTTTATCGGAAACGTGCTTGCAACATTCGAGTTCAGTGCTTACCCTGCGATCCCCCACACCTCATTGTGCCTGTCTGTCGATGACGCAGCTCCAAATGCTGGTCAAGCTGGCGTCGGCATTGTTTTTAGTTTCTGGGCTGAAGCTGCCCTGATCGACTGGATCCCAGTCAACAGCTGGATGTGCGCTGCTACATTAGCTGGCTTGTTCCAGGCTTCGAAGTCGCGCGACGACAAACAATGTCAGTTGGTTATTGCGGCTTACGCCCCCACAAACTGCAGCCCTGATTCGATGAAAGCTTATTTCTATCACCAACGATCTCCTTCGTAGAAGATGCAAGGATACTGTGGTGCTTGTTGGTGATCAAAACGCTCAAGTCGGAATATTGTCCTCTGATGAGCTTCATCTGGGCGGCCAATAAGGTGTAGGCTCTTGCAATGATAACGGTGAACGGTTGCTACACCTTTGTGAAGAGGCTCGTCTCTTTCTCGTGAGCAGAAACTTTCGACACAGCATCCGCAGAAGAATGAATTGACGCCCACCAGCCATGGACTCAAATGGATCATATCATGATTAGTTACCGCTAGAGAGGCTGTGCCCAAAACTGTCGTTTGATTTGGAGTACGACCGTGGACTCCGATCACGCACTTGTGTGTGCCGACCTTCGCGTGCGTTTCGGCGGACGTCCGCAGCGTCTCTCTGAGCGCATATATATTTGCTAGCTGGCGAAGCCAGGTGTTCTGAATGCGTATAAAAGTACCTTGGCACCGTCGAAGATCACTGGTTGCATATTCGCCAAACGTTACTATCACGAGGCGTGCGTTCCTGTGACAAGTAAAATTGCCAACCTAGACATTGGGTCTCTACAAACTTCTCGAACTTATGGATGCTCGCCGACGTATTCCGGCTGGAGGCGAATACAATGAGACTCGCACAAATCTCAGGGCAAAACTGCGTGCTAGGCTGAAGAGAGTCCGCGAAGCCTGGTGGTCTCATCCTGCCTCGGAGATGGAAACAGCCGCTACCCTTGGTAATCATCGGAAGTTATTCCGTCTGATACCGGAAACAGGCAGCAGGAGACCTGGTGTTAGCGAGACGATACGCGACGAGAGTGAACAGCTGATCCACAGCCTGTCAAAACGTTTGGAATGTTGGGCCGAGCACGTTGCAAGGCAATTTAACCAATCTGAATTATCGCTTTCTTTTTCAGGCATCGAGTGCCCTCCATGTGCTGTCTCCTTAGATCCGCCCTCACGCGCTAAAATCAAAAATGAGATCAGACTGTTGAAATGGCATAAGGCCTCAGGGGCAGATAATATTACCCCAACCCTCTTCAAATTTGGGGGACCTGCTCTTGTGGACGATTTATGCGAGTTGCTGGTGGAACTTTGGGAGCAGGAAACTGTCCCAACAGACTGCAGCCGCTCCATCATAGTCCCAATTTTCAAGGGAGGCCCCCGTTCGGAATGCGGCAGTCATCGGAGGGTCAGTTTACTCTAAATTACTTGAGCCTGTCTTTCTCCACAGACTGACTGGTGCTCGTGAAAGCCAGATTTGTGAAGAGCAAGCCGGGTTTCGTCGAGGTCGGGTCTGTATCAACCACATCTTCACTTTGCATCAATTTTTGGAGCGCCGCCATGTTTATTGGCGATCTATATCAAAGGTGTCTTCGATTCGGTCGATCGATGTGCCCTTTGTAACTGTCTTCTGAGAAATGGTGTGCCCGATAAATACGTAAACGTTATCAAAGCGCTGTATGCGCATAGTTCGGACAGAGTGAGGGTATATGACAAACTTTCGCCGGCCTTTAATATCTCCACCAATGTGACACAAGGTTGCCCGCTGTCACCTTTCATATTTAGCTTCGCTATTGACGAAGTCATGGAAGCAGCGTTCGCCGGACACCACCTAGAAGGTGTAGAGCTTCTTCCTGGTGAGCCACTTTTGATTTGAAGTATGCGGACGATATTGCCCTAATCTGTGACAGCTCCCATACGTGCTAAGTATCATTAGACCAATTAGCACTGGCTGTCAATCGTTTTGGGCTATGCTTTGCTCCATCGAAATGCAAAGTACTTATCTAAGATTGGTAGGAACCCACCCCTACGCTGACCTTCGGTGACGATCAGCTAGAAGTCGTCCGAGAATTCAAGTACCTGGGCAGCTATATTAGCGTCCGTATTATCGAAGATTAGCTTACAAACCGTACAGCAAAAGCTCGAGGTGCTTTTGCCAATCTCCGCCACCTGTGGCGCCAACATGACATAACTCTCGCCCTGAAGAGCAGAGTTTTTAATGCAGCCGTCCGTTCCACCCTCTTATACGGTTGTGAAACCTGGCCCATCAGGTCGACAGACATAAGGAGGCTAGTCACGTTCGAACATCGCTGCCTTCGCAGCTTAGCTCATGTCTGGTGGGAACACCGCGTAAGCAATGAGCGTGTACGGCGTCGCATATTTGGTGCAGGAAGAGCTAGTGAACCGTTCAACACCATTATGTTACGCACTCGGCTACGATCGCTGGGCTACATGTTGTGCATGCCAGCCCACCGACTCCCCGACGTGCATTGTTTGCGCACCGGGAGTGCGTTTGGAAGGGGAGGAAAGACCAAACGATGACTTGTTCGAGAGACGTGAAAACCCTCACTTCGAAGTTGGCGTCGGTTGGTGCATCCCGACTGCCTGGCTGGGATTACAAGGACGAGGAACACGTTTGGTTGGACACACTTGCTGCTATGACGAAGAGCCGACCCCGATGGCGTTTGTGTTATGAGTTTCTTTGTCCACTCCATCCCTTTTGGATTCCCCCTCCAATTCCGATCTTATGCGAATTACATAATATAATATTTAACATTATATTACCTACTTTTGAATCGTTTTTCTTGTCTAAATTTTTTGTATTGTGGCACATTAGCTGAGGTATGTTTCTCTCCCCCTCCAACTAACTTGTATTGATTGATTGATTGCTGTTGCCTCTCTGGTGGGTGACCTACTCGAGCATTCTCAGTTCCCATGACCTTCATGATCTCCGTGCTTTCAGCCGTCGTACTTAAGGAGAGCTGTTGTCGGAATTGATCTTTGGCGGCGGCTACATCCAGCGGTAACATGCGTTGAAACAACAAACAACCTTGCATTTGACCGTCCCTTATATTTTTTCCTTGAACCTTCGGAATCGAATGACATATGTGACTGTTAACTAGGTTCCAGTTTGGATAACTAGCCCCCATACATTTGTTGGTATCGACTCCAACGCGGTTGATGGACTTGGCCTCACCCCAATGGGACCAGAATTTAGTAAGTGTGAATACATTGAGACACTTGTTCTCATGCGTGTTTCGGAGAAAGCACATACTAACTTCGAGAGAATACTGGGTCATGGCAGGTGTCGCCTATAATCGATCTGACTGTGTGAATGGAATGTTCTAGCATGCATACAGGCAAACTTACTATGATGTATTTGCAATGTTGACTGCACATCAGGTATATATGGATAGCACTATCTCCAGATGTAGCGAACAGCATAGCGTTACGTAGCATGCTAAACTACAGTAAACTCCTACAACTCACGTCGTCATTATCTTTAGGCGGAAAAATTGTATTTTTGACTACCATTCCCTTTTTAACACGCATGGAAACTCGAATCACACATTATTCCTCTGTCCATATTTCTCCACTTTCTCAGGAAAATGCAGAAAATGACGCTTTTACTTTCTGGTCGAAATGCTGCCTCGTTTTACCACTTAGCAGACCCATCTATTTGCGGTACTATAAGTCCTCATGGCCCAGCGCACTGCATATAATAAATATTAGGGAAGCATATCTCCTGCGAGTTACTGACGAATTCAAGTTTGGTTTTCAATTCACACGCGTTGCCAGTTTGAGCCTGTGTGTAGGTGCGGGCGACTTCGCAATATCTCTGGCTCGCGCACTCAGCTGCTTGTGGTCGCGTGCACTGCGGATGCCTCTATCCGGCAACGCTGTTAGAATATAAAAAACTGCTTGCGCTGAGCCCAATGCAACGAAACAGTTAATTAGTTTCAAGCCGATACGAAGTTGAGGAGCTATCAAAGTGTCTAGGTGGACACAATAGGCGGAGGAGGCGAGAACTGTGCGTAACGACCGCAGACTGTTCCGACAAACTCGCACCAACTGTCTCAAGAGGTCGGTCATTCATCAATAAAACATTGTGCAGGGAACTGCACTAGCATCCTACTTCCCGAAAGGAAGCTCTGTTCGGTTTATTGGGTATGGAATTCTCGGACCCAAATCATTTGGCACACTGCCAAGCATCGAAAGTTGTAACATGGTTAATTAAGTTAGGCAACCCATTCAATCTCGGAGTCTCTAACGTGCGGACACACCCAACTGCATTAGCAATTACGGGGCCATGTCATGTGTTGCGAGAACCGGGACTGTTTGTATGAATTCCCGACAGGCTCAGTAGAAGTTACTTTGCATGGCCGTGGGGAGGGCTTGAACTCTATATGGTAATGAGACTCAGCATCCTTAGTTCGAAAATTTCGAACACCTTCAGGACCTTAATAATTGGCGCCTACGAATCATCGCCTGTGTCAGTTAGCACCAGTTTGTCACCACCGACAATGTGGTGCGTAGTGACTGCTTGGCGATAATGATCGGTGTAGTGTCAGTTCGGGTTTCGCTGGCTATAGTGTATCAGCGTGCGTTCACACACCTTTTAAGGCGAAGCGCCTTGTTTCGTTAGCCACTTCATTTACAACACTTGTAAAGCCTGACTTGTGGGTACAGCCTCTAGAGAGTTCGGGAAATGTACCTTATTATTATTATTTACATTTCGAATGCAGCAATCCTTAACCTGTTGACAGGAAACCGAATATTGTTGGTTGTTTGGGTTCACGAGAGCCACTCCTTGGCTCGGGATGTCACGGAACGCTGCTTGCGACTAGCATCAGTGTTGTCAAGTTTGCCTTGACCGGATTGCCCCCCCCCCCGGTGTTGTGCATGCTGATTGTACAACTACGGTGCAAGGTTGTTTATAAGTGATGACATTAAAAACCGCATGAGTCTGCGTTCACACCGTAGTGTATCTGCAAAATTTGGGCGTACATCCAGAATGTGCGTTTTGGTCGCATATCAAATTCCAGCTTAGTTCTTTTTTCATTTGTCATTTGCTGGGAACATTGCTGTATAATACAAGCGCCAACGCATATCGCTACTTTTACTAGGAGTGATGACCAGTACTCACCCGAAGTTGAAATTGACTAATTCTGATAACATTTTACCTATCGAATGTTTGCCTTGGTTTCTTGAGGATTCCTCTAAAAGTGGGTATCTCTGTGGTAACATTTCCACCATAATCAACGTTCGCATGTCATTTGCCTATTCGTGAAACTCATTGCACCTTTGCATTCTGTCACTTGTTTGCACCTCTACCATTTTCGTCTCACGATCGTATCTTCTCCCTCATTCACTTTCTGCTGTCTTTACATATACACTTCTAACGTTTTCTCCTTAATTGTTTTTATCCGGTTATTTTTCATTGCCATAGCTCGTGAGTCACGACAATTTGATCCTCCGTGCATCCGTGATGTCACCATAATTTATTAGCAGGGTCGAACAGACAGGTGTTTCGTTGTTCGTTGGGTTTGGCGTTTCAGATGCGAACGTTCCGTCACCAGTGCCTAGTGTGGTGGCGAAGCGGTCGCAGCTAAAACATCTACACTGGAGAAAAGCACATCTTCCTCCACACCCGGAGCTACTAGTATTCTCGACCATTTGAACCAAGCGTAACCACTAGGAAGGACGTAAGGCCCTTTGGTTCAAGCACTTCGTCTTACATGGGCGTCACCAAATCGCACATGACAATTTGTACGTTACCAACATACCACGTCCGTCTAGGTAATTTGACGAACTATTACAACACAGTGGGACCACTAGGATGCTCATCAAAATATCCCAGCGAACTCTGTAGCCTACTGTTTTGAGAATAAAACATTTGTCCATCCTTCACTGCCATTATTTCACTCATCAAGGCCTCGATCTTCAACTGTGGATACCACTGTTCCCCACTGGGTTACTATTATCCAACTGTTGACGCCGCTAGTGAGCCGTCCTCATTCTTTGCTGTCGCTTTTGTCCTCCTTCCGATCGATGTCGCGGTGAAGTTGCTAACTAGAAGCATGTTGCACTTGAGGATTGCTCGCCATAATCCTCACTTTTATCCAGTAACTTCCCCAAGACTGCTACAGAATGGTGGTTTCGATTTTCTTGTACAACGATGATCATTTTTCACTGCAAAAACACTAAATATTTACTCACCTTTGAATTGTTCTGCGGTAGTGATGGTAAGCATCCCACCGTGCGGGCCGCCCCACCTAGTTAACCGATCGTCGAACACCACACAAGTGTGCCTAACTTGTTCATTTCCTAATTAAACGGCCACCGCCGGGTCGAGTATCACAAACCTCTGCGTGATTAATAGTGTCTGCGGTGTAGCCATTTCTGAGATACAGTGATTTGAGCGCACGGAACTGTTAGTAGCCCGTGCTTGGGTCTACTCCTACTGATACTGGGCTTCCAAGTGACGAATCCTCCTCAACTGTAAACCCTGTTGCCATATCCACTTTAAGTAGTAGTGGATGATAATGGTGTGCCAAACTGGCGAACATGCTTCATTGCGTCCCGGCCGACTTCCAAGCTTGCCTAGCGTTTGTAGCACGCTTCCCATGCCTTCTTTCATCCTGTGTGGATTGGGACAAGGTATGAATCAATCAAATTTCTGGGTTATTCGCGACCAACTCTTCGGCGCGGCTTAAAGTATTTTGCCTTGTTTGGTTGTTGCATAGTTCGCTGTCGATCACGTCGTCGCGGAGTGATTACTTCCGCCTCTTTCGATGCTGGATTATCAGTGCGTGATTAGCAACCCGATTTGTAATGTTTGCTGGATACGTCCCGTGCTCTACACATCGTATATGCATAGACACCTTTTGCTTGCTCTCTTCCTTTTACAGAATTTGATGAATCGGGCAATGCGAAGACAGCCTGGCGTCAATTGGATAAGCCATTGGTCATGCTTGTTAAGCAGTCTTTTAAGAACGAACCTCCTGCCTGGTGTTTGCCGTGTCTGAGGGTGGAGAATAACCGGACACTGAGAGAGGTTCGTTTCTACATTTGCGGAGTGTATTGCAACATACACAGACGACCGAGAATATTGTAACAAATGATCCAACTGGTAACCAGCTCCGATATGAGGCCATCCTCCATAAATCACAGTTACGGAGTCATTTTAGTGCCTGTTAGATGATCCTAACAGCTATCCCTATGGCTCTGGAGGCCCCCTAATTTCTGTAAAGAGGCCATCATGGAATGATGAATATTTTTCACACCCAAAACTTACATTGTTCTTCTGTTCCGGTTCAACAAACCATCATCGCCAGTTCACAAAAACCGACAAACTTCTGGTCGTCAATGTATTGTTTGTTTTTGCTATATGGTCTCTGCGACGATTTTTATCACACTTTTGTGGCTTTTAACCAGAAAAACCCTTTTTTCCCCAAGCCCAACCTTGTAGGACAGCAGTGTATAGTACGTAGACCCGTCATGGTAATCGGACTACTCGGATGCTTATTGCCCCTGTCTAGTGGTTTGCTAATACCCAACTTAAGCCGGGAATTCCAATACGAACAGGGCGCGAATCTGCAAACCTTGGCTGTGGATACATGTGTGGCTTTTAGGGTGCTTGAAAAATACACACTAACGGTAAGAAAACTAACAAAATTCTGTACAGTCTCAAACAGGTTTTTGGAATCGTTTCCGACTCCGGCTAAAGAGTGATGTTTTTCAGGGGCAAGTACATCACCAGTATTTTCCATTCCATACCGTTTGACTAGCACGGAGCCGCTCACGACTCTGTCGGTCGAGCTATCCGCCAAAAAAGACACCTGTCGAAGCTAGGAACATGGAACCTTTCAACATGATGACATCGAATTTTCCAACATCCTACTCTTCTCTCGGGTTTCGAACCGCACAAACCAATCAGTCGGATATGGTGCAGCAAAGAATTCAATGGATTTCCCACATTCGCTCCCTTGTCTTCAGCTGTTCATCTCCAAATCTGACGATCTCATAGGCACTATCTACTCATCATTATTAGTATATACGTTCGCTGGAGGTGGAAAACACCTCAGCTGGTGCGGCAGACAAAAGAAAAGAAACGTGCAAGGGGCACGCCGGCTGAATCACCAGTAACCGATGGAAGTCATGCCGCAGAGCTAACAGCCCTCTGTTGTGCCGCAAAATTATGCCTAGTAAATGAGATCGTGGTTGAAGGGGTAGGCTAAACGGGAGGGGACGGACAAAGAACCTCACAACACAAACGCCACTGAGGTCGGTCAGGTTAAAAAGCGTATCCAACAAAATTCTACTACTTTCTCTGGCGTCATTTTCTTTAATATCGTTCAATGCGGACGAAGGATCATTGAACCGAAATCGTGGTTGCTCATATAAAAAGTTGCATCACTGTATATCCTCTCGCACTGAGCCCAGATTCCGCGAACTAATAAATTCGTGGTTTGCAATGCATATCTTATCCAAGTTACGCTACGCACCATTTCCTTTCGATAGGGTCTCATTTACTGACTTGTGCGTGGCGTCTAAACACAGAGTTCTGTAGCCATTACTGACCACCGTTTCTTTTTCCTCAGCGTTGGTAATTCTAAAATCGTAGAGAACATTCTATCACCAGTCTTAATCTCTGATCGAAATCGCGCTGTATTCAGCCATTTCAGCAGTGTGTCATACGTTCAGATCAGTCGCTTATCAGAGTCAGACATCCACTCACAAGCTGTTCCGGATGTATTGCAATGGCATTCGTTTTCTTGAAAAATATACCCACTGAACTCGGCGTACACCCCGTAACCAGACTATGTCACAACTTGGTGCGACGCTTTGCATAACTTCCAGGCACTTTTACCCACCGTCGTAGCTACTACCATCGAATTGGTCGGTAGTTGGAGGTCATAAAATTCAGTTCACTGACCCCACAGGCTAGTGGTTGGAACTGGAGTGGTACTGATTCCCGTGGGATCGGCTCACCCCGTTCACCGTTATCAAGTTTCAGTTTTGCCCGTGTTTCGACTGAAGGTCCTGATGTTTTCTTACCTAAGTCTGTATGACGTGCTGCATCTCAGGTTACCTATAACCATTTTTGTTACATAAAATTCATTCTGCATCTGCTATCACATAGTCTCGAACGTTATTTTTATATGCTGCCTATAGGATTGCACCTTTTCCCCCTCCAGTTCCCCATAACTTTCCGTTGTCCACAGCGTTTATGATGGCAGTCGGGGTGTTGTTAAAGATTTACTAGTTGCGCACATGTTACCACAGAACTGAATTGTCCTGTTACTGGTTACTTCTTATCAAGCCTAATTACCCGACTTTCTTGGCTGTGTTTAACGTGTGAGTCTTGAGGTAGCTAGGGCAATAACCTACACTTGATCGCGCAGTGCATTTCCCATGTGTTGTGGCGTACTTCGTCTCCAAGATATTACCATTCATGAATCTCTTGCCGCTATCGAACCAACTGTATCTAACTTCTAGACTCGTTTTGTTGTAATAGTGCACTAGTGATGCACCGATAAAATCTCAGGCTGAGGTGGACATAGCCCTCAGCTCCGGAACTAAGGCCCTGCTAGTTGACTGGATTCTCGTGAACAACTGGCGCACAAAGGGACACGACACACTGCTTGTGGCCCACGTCCCGATCGATTGCATTCATATTATTGCCACGAGCCTGTCATGCCACGGAATACTGTTTCCAGATCATTGTGCTGTGGCTGCGATATGATTGCACAAATGGATCGTTCAGCCTATTCAGAAACCGGGTAAGGTTGCATATTTGGGCACGGGTACAAGCGGACCCACAATTACGAGCGTGTTCACAAACGCTTGCTTTCTATTCCCCCACCAAAAACACTCAGTCCACATTATGGTCGTTTGCTTGTCCGATAACTTTATCCTAAACAAGAGCGCAGCAGTACCTTATGGCTATACTTCTAAACGACACTGCCCTCGGACAACAGGCACCCGTGTGCCTGTTGTTCTGCGGCCTCTAGTCTATGATGAGCACAAAGAGATCCCGTCGCCATACGCTACATTTATCAGTTTCATCCTTGATGACCGCTCACCTTGAAACTTGTGCTGATACAATCCCTTTAATTTAAATTATTTTTCAGTGGCTACATATAGCGCGCATCATTCCAAAATTGTCGGGCTATCCGGTACACGCTCATGTTCCGAACATGTTCAAATACGTTAGGGTATACTGCCCGTTTTTCTAACCTCAACGAAGCGCGTAATTACAGGACTTCCAAATCATCCAATGAGCTCGAAAGTACCAAGGTGAAATAATTGTCATTAATTAACTGACTGATGGTTGATGTCGCCTACAAAACACCATGAAAGCGCGATCCAAAGCCCCTTTTCACTCAGCTTGGGATGCTCCATTAGTAAATAGGCTTGTTCGTTCTCGGCCACTGTGACTGGAGCGGTAGGGGTCGGCCGTCAAGATCAATCCTAATACCCGTGACATGGAAAGATTAATGGGCGAAATGGGATCAGCGTTACTTGGAACACCCTAGACATAAAGCTACTACAGGCTTCAGTATGTGGAACAAATGCCGAACGCAGATAACTGACCGAGTCCTGTCGGGCCGAATGGTACATGCAGTTCAGCTCAGTTGATCAGCTATGATCCGAGCACCGAAGTGCGGTGGATGCAGTTGCCACGGCTCACATTGCAATAATGAAGTAATAACAACGGCAGGATAGTGGGGTTAAAAGCAAATAGGATGCGAAGAAAATGGAAACAAAAAGGAATTGTGTTAAATTAATTAGAATAGAACGAAAATTAACAACTAGACGCAAGAAACCGAATGCAAGAATGCCACTGACTGCGTGAAAGCGCCGTGTCTGATACGGTCTTCAACTATTGTTGTGGACCATCCCGAGGCTCCCATCCAGGAAGACGGCACGCACTCGCCTGACCAAGTCTCTCGGTCAGTTTCTTCATGCCACTATGTCAGGTCATGGACTGGCCACCTCGCGGTTTCACCCAATTTGCTACAGCCATGGCGTATAATGCACGCCGAGGCAGCCGGTCAACTGGCATACGGAGGACATGTCCTAGCCAGCGTAAGCGACTAAAATTTAGCAAAAACTCGAGTAAGGCACCAGAAGACTTTTTGCCAAAAACCAACTGGCGGACCTCAACATTGCTCACCCGGTGTTCCCACCAAACATGAGCACTACTTCGTAAGCACCGGTGGTCAAACACGATCAAGCGTTTAAAGTCTTCGCTGCGAACTGGCCAGGTCTCTGATCTATACAGTAAGACTGGCTTTCCCGCAGCGTTATACATCCTACCTTTCACTGACAGGCTGATATCCCACCGTCTCCACAGATGGTTTAGTTTCTGGAAAGCCACACGGGCCTTGCTGATACGCGAAGTAACTTCCTCAGGGATGTGACCAGCAGAGATGACACAGCCACCACCTTCAGTGGCAGTTCGGAAATAGCTAAAACCGGAGGTGTGTCGGTCCAGTCCCACAACCGCACTTTAAAGGCACAAAGTGCATGCCAAAGTGTGCAGCCCTTCGCACAAGTCTGTGCAGTAATGTTTGCATAGCCAATGCATCAGACCCTATGAGAACTATGTCGTCCGCATACTCCTGGTTTGCCAGTCGGTTACCTGGCAGCACTTCCACTTCAGAATAGTCTGTAAGAACCGAGTCATTCATGAGCATTTAGATCACAAAATGAAGAGAAAAGAAGCTATAGGACAACAATGGCGAATCCCACTTGTCGTGAGGAAATCAGGAGACAACTTCCAGTAGACCCTTACACGGCGTCGGGTAGAGAGACTTAAGAATGGAAAGGAATTTAGCCGCTACGCTCTTCATGGATAAGCAGTGCCACGCTGACATGGTTAGCAGAGTCGAAAGCAGCTTTTAAGTCAATTAAAATCACCATAATCTGTCGTCTGTATATGTATCTGCTCTAAAACTTGTCGAGGAGTAAATATGTGGTCGATACAACCACGAACAGGGCGGAAACCAGCGTGGCTTTCAGTGATTCGGTCCTCACGGGGAACAGTAA